GATAGCAGGTCCGGATGGCGGCAGGGCAGGCGGGATGGCACTGTCCTGCCCCACCACCCCGGGTGGCAAATAGCAGGCCCGGATGGCGGCGGGGCAGGTGGGATGGCGTTGACCCGCCCTACCTGCAGTATGCAAATTAGCCGCCATCTTTGTTGGTGGTTAATTTGCATATCACGCCGATTAGCCAATGGGAGGTGTAGCGAAGGTATGGTCAATTACCATGTTTGTCTATTATTAGATAGGATAATTAACAAATATGAAACAGTTTTAAATGGTAATATCTCTTCTTTGTTTGAGCTACCACAAAATTATTGCATGTTGCTGTAGTAAAGCACGAGTCATGCAATGGCAAACATAATTTGGGGGTTAGAGGAGCTACATTTTCTTGCTGACCTTTTCAGTATGTGCCAAGCCTATTCAGGTTGATTTGTAGCTACCCCAAATTGAGATGACATAGAGGTATGTTCACTTAGTACCATAATATTTACAGTTGGGTTAGTGTTTACTTTTAAAATGTTTTTCTTCTTTTTTTGCTTTCTTTTAATTGAAAGTTTTTAAAGTATGATATGTAAATATGCTATAATTCAAATAGAGTAACACACAGAGCTCTCTTATCCTTTATATCCGCTGCGTATTAGACCGTGAGTCAACTTGCTATCATTTTAATAACCAGCTCCTACTGATAGACATGTAGGATTTTATTTCTCTCTTTTAGCATGTATAGTGAACAGGGACAGTTATTCTGTAGTATTTTAAGTTCTTAATGTTATCACGAAACCAGTATCAAGATGTCACTAAAAATACATTCTTTTTTTAAAAAATATTTTTTTATTGATTTCAGAGAGGAAGGGAGAAAGAGAAACATCAGTGATGAGAATGAATCATTGATTGTCTGCCTCCTGCACACCCCCCACCGGGGACCGAGCCCACAACCCGGCATGTGCCCTTGACCGGAATCGAACCCAGGACCCTTTAGTCTGCAGGCCAGTGCTCTGTCCACTGAGCCAAACCAGCTAGGGCTAAAAATACATTCTTTAGAAACAAATTACTTTCTTCTCTTTTTGAAGTTCAGTTTTTATCTTAGATTATTCTACTTTGTCCAAATTCTAATCATATTTCTTGCTGTTGGCTATTTAGAGCAAATGTGAAGCTTGAATTGAAGCTAATACCTTGCAGATATATTCATAAATAATCTGATGAAATAAATGATAAATGGATTGCTTTAAAGTACATGAACCTTGTTAGGTATCAACTTTCTCATGCTTTTTAGGGACATAAAGATCTTTTTTTTTTTTAATATATTTTATTGATTTTTTACAGAGAGGAAGGGAGAGGGATAGAGAGTTAGAAACATCAATGGGAGAGAAACATCGATCAGCTGCCTCCTGCACACTCCCCACTGGGGATGTGCCCGCAACCAAGGTACATGCCCCTGACCGGAATCGAACCTGGGACCTTTCAGTCCGCAGGCTGATGCTCCATCCACTGAGCCAAACCAGCTAGGGCCATAAAGATCTTTTTTTAAATGTACAGGTAAAATTCTAGTATGTACATCTAAATCTTAAAGGACTTATCATGACTTTTTAATACATTTTGAATTGCAAGCTTGGAGATGGGGGATATGTAGATTACAGTATATATTATATACAGGTTAGAAAACTTTTTCCCCCACTTATATGTGGAATCTAATGAACAAAATAAACTGACAAACAAAATAGATCCAGAGATATGAAAGCTTGCAACAGACTGAGGACTCCCTGAGAGGAAGGAGGAGAGAAGAGATCAACCAAAGAAACTATATGCATGCATACGTAACCCATGGACACAGACAGCAGTGGGATGAAGGCCTTGGGAGGGGACGGGAGTGGAGATGTCCCTCCTGTTGCCCCATTGCCCCCCTCCACCCTTAAAAAACTTTTTAAATTGCTAACATTGAATACTGGAGGGAATGAGAATTGTTAAAAGGGGATACTTGCCTGTTAAAAACTAAATTATTTTTATTCTTTTTACTCTGTTTGAATTTTGAATTTGTAGTCTAAGTAAATAGAAATATTTTTCAAAATATGGAAGTTTTATTTACTTTTTTACCTTGGAAAAAGAGTACTTCATGCTTTAGCATTTACGGTCTGGTTGCAGCAGTCGGACTCATAGTCTCAGATCCATTCCTGATGAGTGGATGCCTGAAGCATAGATAAAAAGGAAACAAGGACCTTATCAAGTGGGATTCATATAAGATCCTAATATTCTTGCCCTGGCTAGTGTGGCTCAATTGGTTGAGCATTGTCCCATACACCAAAAGGTCGCTGCTTTAATTCCTGGTCAGGGCACATACCCAGGTTTTGGGTTCAATAGCCAATCAGTGTTTCTCTCTTTCCTCTCTCCCTCTCCCTCACCCTTTTCTCTCTAAAATCAATAAAAAACATATTTTTTAAAAAAAGATCCTAATATTCTTGACCAATGTTTTATAAGCATACTTGGTAAGTTACTTTAAAGTATATGTGGGATTTCCACTTCTGACATTTTGGCAGAATGTAAAACCTTAGAATTCTGGATAAAATATGTATAGCTATTTCTTTTAAATGTGTAGCTTGATTCCAAGTCTTGTGTTTTTTTCTCTACGTTTTGCTAAATATTTTAGACATATAGGTAAAGCTACTTTGATCAGACTTTCAAGTCAAAAGTTTAGATATCTAAGTATTTGGGAAAAGCTAAAGGTAATTATAAGTCATTGCTTATATATTATAGGCAGTTCTTTTAACTAGTAATGTTTTTAGTAGAATTACTGATTTCTTTTTCATGTTGTTTTATCAGAGCAAGATATGTGAATTATATTAAAACATCAGAAGTGGTCAGACTGCCCTATCCTCTTCAAATGAAATCTTCAGGCCCACCTTCTTACTTTATTAAAAGGGAATCATGGGGCTGGACAGACTTTCTGATGAACCCAATGGTATGTATCAGGTTATAACAAAGTATCTTTACTAATCTCTAATTTGCTTCTAAGCAGTTGAAAACTTTTAACCCCTATGAGATAGAAAGCTGACATCAGATTGTTGGATGAAAGTGTAATTAGTGGATTTCAGGAAAACAGTGTCTTGGGAATATATAATAAGAATTGCATAAAAAAAAAAAAAAGAATTGCATGGTAGATATGACATTGAAATTCCTGGTCAGGGCACATACCCAGGTTGTGGGTTCAATCCCCTGTCTGAGCACGCTTGTGGGAGGTAACCAGTATTTCTCTCTCTCTCTCTCTCTCTCTCTCTCTCTCTCAAAAAAAATTAAGAAAAAAACACTAATAGAGTACATTCTTTAGAGATAAATTGACTTTTTTTGCTGCTTTTGAAAGTTGAGTTATTGTTAGAATTGTCTAAGTTTTGATCGTTCTTTGCTGATAGCTATTTAGATTACAAATAGGAATGTTTGGGGCTTTACATCCTCTAGAGAGGAATAAATTAGTACCTGGAATTTCCTATCAGGGATAAAGAAACAGAAGGATAGAATAGATAGGAGAAATCAGCAATGAGACTTCATGTTCCAGTTTCTCTCTCCCTCCCTCCCTCCCTTCCTTCCTTCCTTCCTTCCTTCCTTCCTCTCTCTCTCTTTCTTTCTTCTTCTTCTTCTTTTTTTTTATTGATTTGAGAGAGAGACAGACATTGATCTGTTGTTCCACTCATTGATGTTTTCATTGGTTGATTCTAGTATGTTCCCTGACTGGGGACTGAACCCACAACCTTGGTGTATTGGGACAATGCTCCAACTGAGCTACCCGGCCAGGGCTATATTCTGATTTCTGAAATTCATGGAAGCATATCCAAAGCTATAAGCTTCTAGGACATCTTTTGAATTGATTTGCTAAAGTAGGTGCCTAGAAATATATTGCTCTAGAGGGTGTACATTAATGAGAGGTACATTATAGTTTTTTCTCCAAGAACCGCAAAGTCATCTGGAAAGAGCAGCCCGGCTGGCTATCAGGATCACCAGTCCCAGTGCCTGACTACAGATTGAAGAGAGTGAACAGATAGTTCTGTTTGCAAACTATTTGTGTTAACTAAAGCTATAAACTACAAAATGGTAGATGGCACAAACTCAAAGTAAGGTGTCTATAAAATCCAAACACATACGTATAAATAAAGCTTTTATATTCTGCAACAGTCAGACATTTAAGACTACCTTGCTATCAACAGAACTGGTTCAGGAGAATTGAGTTGGTTGCTACTAGTTTTATTCTATACTAGGGGCCCAGTGCATGAATTTGTGCACCTTGCAACGAACTGTGGGCCGCGAGGCTGCGGTGGGCACAGGGGTGGGTCTTGGCCCATCCTCCGCCCGGCCCCTCCCGCCATGGCCCCCAGTCCCCTGTCTGCTGGCAGCCCCGCTCCCACTGCCACCACTCCCATACGGTGACGGCACCGGCGCTGTCAGTGGTTGTGAGCGGTGGCTGCTGCCCCAATCGCCCCTCAGGAGCAGGGGAAGGTGGAGAAGCCCTGAGGGGTGATTGGGACCTGCAGCCGCTGCTCTCACTTCTGATGGCGCCGAGCGATCAGGGCTGGATGTGACCAGCGGCACCGGCAGCAGGTGCAAGTGGGGCTGGCGCCACCAGCAGGCGCAAGCACCTGGCGGGATCGTAGCACACGGGAGCAAAGAATTTTCAGTAAACACCAGAGGCTTGCCCCAATGACAGCAACTGGCGCTCCGCCGTGGTCTGGCACTCCCGCTCACCTGCTCCACCGTGGCCGATGCCCGCCATGTCCTGCATGCGCCCCCTGGTGGTCAGTGCATGTCATAGTGACCAGTTGTTCGCTTGTTCTGCTGTTTGGTCTGTTTGCATATTAGGGTTTTATATATATAGATACAACATTTAAATCTTTAATTTTATCATTGATTAGGTGCAGATTTTGTTCTGTTAAGTCAGCAGTTCTCAACCTGTGGGTCACGACCCCTTTGGGGGTCGAATGACCCTTTCACAGGGGTCGCCTAAGACCATCGGAAAACACATATATAATTACATATTGTTTTTGTGATTAATCACTATACTTTAATTATGTTCAGTTTGTAACAATGAAAATACATCCTGCATATCAGATATTTACATTATGATTCATAACAGTAGCAAAGTTACAGTTATGAAGTAGCAACGAAAATAATTTTATGGTTGGTGGTCACCACAACATGAGGAACTGTGTTAAAGGGTCGCGGCATTAGGAAGGTTGAGAACCACTGTGTTAAGTGGAAAGAAATGTTTTCTGATTTTTTTTTTCCCTCACAGGTTATGATGATGGTTCTTCCATTGTTGATATTTGTACTTCTGCCCAAAGTAGTCAACACAAGTGATCCTGACATGAGACGGGTAAGATGATTGCCTAGCTGTGGGTTTTTGAACCATATTCTGATGCCTGGTCCATCTGTTGTGGCTGGATGGCTTGGATCTTTCAGCTTTATCCTAATTCCCAAGCCAAATTCATCTAGAGGTGGTGCTAATACAGTATTATGTTCCTGGCATTTAGATAGTCATTACCATTGCACCAGATAAATTTAGTTGTTTATGCTTAATAAAGGCTGGTGTATTTTCATATAGCTCAAACATTCTACTTAGTATTAGACTTTGTGCCTCACATGTTATAAATTTGAAATATGTTATAATCCTGGTACACCTAACCCAAACATTTTACAAAATGATAACTTCCTATATTCTATTTTTACTTTACAAAACTCTTTAGAATACACATTTAGTTTATGTGTTCAGACACATGAAAGAAATTTGAATAGACCAAGGGAGAAAAATAGAAAAGTGGCTTTCAGACCTTGTATCACAAAACTGGACTGGGGAGAGGAGTTGCCAAGTTGGATGCTTCAAGTTTAGTGCCACAGCTTTGTCTCTTTAAAATTGGCTTCCATATAAAATCTTCAGTTTTTTAAAAATCATTGTCCATTCTTCCACTTAAAACAATCAATAAATATCTTCTTAGTTCCAAGTTTTCCCATTATAATTAATGTATTAATGTGTTGACATCTTATTCATTGCTGAAAAACATTTACTAATCAATTCTAGGTTCTTGGTACTGAAGAATATGCAAATGAATTATTATGTCATCCCTGTCATCAATAAGTTCATAATCCAGTTAAATGTAGTATAGGAAATAGAATGGATTTGTAAAAAATTCTTCTTGCTAAGATAAACATAAAATAAATAAAAATGTCTGCTGAGATAAGTTCTGTAGAAGGTGAGGCATTTTATTCCAAGCTGGAATGACAGAAAAAGCTTCGTGGAAAAAGAAAGCTTTATAATGTTTCATAATGTTGTATTGCTAAATTTTGGCATCTCTGCTTCAGTGTTGGCCAGAAAGTGTACATCCTATACAATCCTTGTATCTGTTAAGCCAGTTAACTCTCTGTGGCATCAACAGAGGCAGCATTAGAAGTCACATGGGATTAAAAATTCATTTACTTGCAAAGTACTTTGCACATGGTGAGCAATATAAAAAGTTGTTCATTCAAGAGCTTCAGGTGTGCTCCCTCTCCCAGGAGCATGCCTGTGCCTTTCCCTTCACCCTCTTCTCTCTTCAGGCATGCATCTTCTAAACTCTAAGGGTCCCCATGAGACTTGCAACCAGGGGAGCAATGGTCAGTGGCAGCTCATGCTGGGCTAATCCCCTGAACCTGTCTCCAAGGCCCCCTTTTTTCTGACTTCTCAGTGGGCCAAAGCAGCCCTGCCTAGGCTCCCCTGTTGCTTCTTCTGTCCTAAGCTATTCCTTGTTTCACTGTCCCAGCTTTCATAAACATAACCTCAGAATAAAAACAAAAAGAGCTTCAGAATTGAATGGATTAAAAAATAGAGTTGATCCCTAACTGGTTTGGCTTAGTGGATAGAGCATCGGCCTGTGGACTGAAGGGTCCCAGGTTCGATTCCGGTCAAGGGCACTTGCCCAGGTTGTGGGCTCGATCCCCAATGTGGGGCGTGCAGGAGGCAGCCAATCAGTGATTCTCTTTCATCATTGATGTTTCATCTTTCCCACTCCCTTCCTCTTTGAAACAATAAAGACATATTTTTAAAAAATAGAGTTGATATATTTTTGCAGGGACTCAAGAATTATTATCATATACATTTAATTCTTGATTATTAGGACACATTAACATATTTGATTTATATTTATAATGTTTCTTTTCCTGACCTTATTTGTAAAAGCACTTTCTCCTTGAAAACCTATGTATATAAATTCTTCCTTTGGGGAGAAAGTCCAAGCTAATACCCAAAAGTTATTAAATTTTAAGTGATAGATAATATAATATTTGCTATTTTTTTCATGTCTGAACTAATACAGTGTTAAGTTCACTTTTGGAATGTCACATAAAATTCAAATGAATCAGACATTATATTAATACTGCGAAAGTGGAACAGTACTTTGTGGGTTTTGGCTTAATAAAGGGGAAGACAAACCTCAAAATAAAAGTGTCAGACCCTTATCCTGTCCTGCCAGTAACTTGTTTGTAGCATTTGTGTTGCTTGCTTTGGATGTTATAGTTGAGGTCACCCAGGTCATATGGCATAAATGTATTACTAAGGGCCTTAGGAATAAAGTCTTAGAAATACTGCTGTTCTCTTCCAAATTATGCTGATACCTTGATAGATAATTAAAAATTGATGTTCTGGTTATATGTATCTAAAGAAAGCATGAGTTTAAAAAACACATGTCAAAACAATAAAAAGCATTGTAATCAGAAAACAAATAAGGTGGCAGGAATATGATTACATATGTCCATTATCAGAGGAAATGCCTTTTATAAAAACACTAGGGGTCCAGTGCACGAATTAGTGCACCTTGAAAGGAACTGTGGGCTGCGAGGCTGCGGTGGGCACAGGGGCGGATCTTGGCCCATCCTCTGCGCCTCCTCCCAGCCCCTCCCACCGCGGCCCTGGTCCCCTGTCTGCCAGCAACCCTGCTCCTGCCACCACCACTCCCACGCGCTGACGGTGCCAGTTCTGCTCACACCCACTGATGGCGCGGAGCGATTGGGGCCGGTGCCGTTAGCGGGTGCAAGCAGTGGCTGCTGCCCCTATCGCCCCTAAGGAGCAGGGGGGTATGGAGAAGCCCTCAGGGGCAATTGGGGCCAGCAGTTGCTGCTTGCACCCACTGACAGCACCAAGGGATTGGGACTGGCGCCCGGTGCCGGCAGTGGGTGTGAGCGGGGCCGTCATCGGCAGTGGGTGCAAGAGGTGGCTGCCCGCCCTGATCGCCCCTCAGGAGCAGGGGAAGGTGGAGAAGCCCTGAGGGGCGATCGGGGCCAGCAGCTGCCACTCGCACCCACTCACGGCGCCGAGTGATCAGGACTAGTGCCAGGCACCAGCAGTGGGTGCGGGCACCGGGTTGGACCGCCGTGTGCAGGAGCAAAGAATTTTCAGTAACCACCAGAGTCTCGCCCTTGATTACAGCGACCGGCGCCCCACCTTGGTCTGGCACCCCCGCTCACCTGCTCGACTATCCTGCCACGGCCGATGCCCGCCATGTTGCGTGCTCTGCCACTTGCTGCCAACGCCTGCCATGTTCCGTGCGTGCCCCCTGGTGGTCCGCGCATGTCATAGCGACTGGTTGTTTGGTTGTTTGGTTGTTCTGCCATTTGGTCTATTTGCATATTAGCCTTTTATTATATAGGAAGGATAAGTTGAGTCAGACCCTAGGCAAGCATTTATTGGACATTTACTAAGGATCAAAATGCATCTATAATAATAAAGGGGTAATATGCTAATTAGACCAGATGTCATTGCAGACAAAGCCAGGGCTGGAGCGAAGTTGCCTGGGTCCCGGGTGCCTGCCAGCAGCTGGAGGGAAGCCGCCTGTGTCCCAGGTGCCTGATCGAAGCCGGAGCCGGCATCCGGGGGGGAGGGAAGGCCTACTCTTGCACGGATTTTCGTGCATCGGGCCCCTAGTAGTGGTATAAAGGAGGCACGAAACATGGTTTCTGAAGTGCTTTTGGATATGACAGTGCATCATTGCTTAGAACCAGTGCCTTTCACTTGTTCTACTCCTCTCCTTCTTCCTTCATGGAAGTGTCAGTTGTTCAGTGACCCCAGGGATCCCTGTGCCTTTCATGCCATTATGCTTTCTCTTCCTGCAGGAGATGGAGCAGTCGATGAATATGCTGAATTCCAACCATGAACTGCCTGATGTTTCTGAGTTCATGACAAGACTCTTCTCTTCAAAATCATCCGGCAAGTCTAGCAGCAGCAGCAGTAAAACAGGCAAAAGTGGGGCTGGTAAAAGGAGGTAGTTGGGCAGTCCAGAGCTGGCATTTGCACAAACACGGCAACACTGGGTGACATTCAAGTCTTGAGGGAAAACCATGTGAAGCAACTACTGTAAACTTGAGTCATCCTTAAAGTTGATCTCCTATAACTGTTGTGTGTGATAACTCTTCAGTACATGTTTTGAACTTGGTACACAAGAAAACCCAGCTTTTATCCTTGTGTGAGGTCAATGTTGATGTCACTGAATTAATTACAGTGCCCTATAGTAAATGACATTAATAAATTATATGAAGTACTATACATTATGTATATTAAAATGTCTTAACCCAGAGATAAAATTATCGTGTCATTTTTTCCACTTAATGTTTCTTTTATTCCTGTAAGTTTTCTTCTGTCTTTCATTATCTGAGGCTTGAAGTTGATCCTTTCTATTTAAAAAGAAGTGGTTGATATTTTTAGAACAGCGTACACCATGTTCTTTTATCCAGATCCTTCAAAATTCTCAGCTCTTCCTGCCATTTAGCATACCCTGATGATTGAGGTAAAACCACGCGTTCCTGATGTACTTTCAGTTTTTATTATTATAGTTCGTTTCAGAGTATGGAAATATGAATTAGAATACATGTTATGATTTTTAAATTCTGCTTACCAACTAAGGTATTCATTATTGAGTATCAGCTTTGTGCTGTGATTGATTCAAGGTGCCTGTCTCAACAGAGTTTACCACGAAGAGAAGAAGCACAGCTAGTAATAGGGAGTGAATGGCCAGGGGAAGGAAACGCAGCAGTAGGAGAGCCTTCTAGAGTCTGAGGATAGAAAACCACCCTTAGAACTTCATGTAATATTGGTGGTATAGCACAGGTAGCTTTTCAATTTCCTCATCTCTCCATCTCTGATTCTCAAGAGTTGTTGGAATATAAATTACTATTTTCCAATCAGGGGTATCTCAAAAACTTACTATTTAAATAAGTTACAAAAATTTCACACCTTTTCTTATGGGTTGTTTTAATTAAAGAGGAACTCTGAGGCTATCATATTGCTTCTAGTAGAGGGCTCCTGTCCTCTCCTGTGTTAAAGACCTCCCCTATTGCTTTTTTTCAGGTTATTAAATCAGCAAAACACAACAAAAAAGATTGGTTACAAACGTTCATTTTCCCTTTTGTAATAGGTGCCATTGTTCATTTTGAAATGAGGTACGTAAGTTTTCTTTTAAAGAAATAAGTCCCAATTCAGGATATTTACATTATATAAAGGAGGAACCATATCTCTGTTTGTATTATAACATTAAAGTAACCAAACTGGTTATTTTATGAATGATTAATGTGAGAACTAGGTCTTTTAAATAGGGTAATTTATTGAAAATAAAATATCAGAACACTAGTTAAGTGAAAGTTATAATTTAAAGTAGAAAGTATATAGTAGTAAGAGTCATAGTTATATGACCAGAAGTCATCTTGAAAAAATTTAAAAATCACATTGTCAGAATTTGTATATGAAATCCCTAATGACTTATGACAAAGAAATTAGAAAGCACTTCCAAGGAAATTACCATTTTCAAGTGTTAATGAAGAATCTATGTGTGGTTATTTTACATAGATTCTAACACCATCTGAATATTATATATATACATATATATATGTATGTACATACATATATATCCCTTACGTTGCGGAATGTTATTATATCACTTGCATATGAAAATCTTATCTTTGCATAGAACCTTCATCAAATGCTTAGTGTACTTACAGGTACAGAAATGATTGTATATTATTAGAAAATAGGGTTTAGTGTGAAGAGCCCCTATTGACCTGCTAACTTGCTTTGTGGCTTTGGGCAAGCCACTTTCCCTCTTTGGACCATGTCTTCTTCATTGTATGTCCAGCACTGAGCATGTAGACACACAATAAATATTTGTTCAATAAATAAATAAATGGGCCTCAAGTTTCCACATCTGTGAATTGAGGATTGGGATTCGATCTGTAAGTTCCTTTTCAGATCTAAAATTCCACTTACTTTTAACCCAGTCCTATTATTTCCTACCCTTAAGAATCATATGGTCAGTGATTAGTGCCAGCTTTCTCATTTAAAAAAAAAAATGTAGTTTTATTGATTTCAGGGAGGAAGGGAGAGGGAGAGAGAAATAGAAACATCAATGATGAGAGAATCATTGATTGGCTGCCTCCTGCATGCCACCTATTGGGGATTGAGCCTACAACCCGGGCATGTGCCCTTGACCAAAATTGAACCCTTCAGTCCTCAGGCCGATGCGCTATCCACTGAGCCAAACCGGCTAGGGCTAGGGCAGCTTTCTCATTTCCTACTTTCTTGAGTTCTTTCTGCTGTTCCCCATTTGGAGACAGAATATTATTTTGCTGTTGTTTAGGGCCTTTCTTAGGTTCAATTTACATGTAGTATCTCCTTTGAAATGTAAGCTTCGTGTTTTAAAATATTTTAAATCTACTAAATTAAACCTGGGTAGTGACTTTGCGCAAAACAACTTTTTTTTTTCTGCCCATTCTTACAAGGAAGTCCTGATGGCCCAGGATGTATTCATAGCATCCAAGTTTTGTTTTTTTTTTGTTTTTTTAAATATATGTTACTGATTTTTTACAGAGAGGAAGGGAGAAGGATAGAGAGTTAGAAACATTGATGAGAGAGAAACATTGATCAGCTGCCTCCTGCACACCCTCTACTGGGGATATGCCAGCAACCAAGGTACATGCCCTTGACCGGAATCAAACCTGGGACCCTTCAGTCCGCAGGCCGACTCTCTATCCACTGAGCCAAACTGGTTAGGGCCGTACCCAAGTTTTTAAAAAATATATTTTTATTGATTTCAGAGAGACAGGGAAAGGGAGAGAGAGATAGAAACATCAATGATGAGAATCACCAATCAGCTGCCTCCTACACCACCCACCCCCACTGGGGATCGATCTTGCAACCTGGGCATGTGTCCTGCCTGGGAATGCAATTGTGACCTCCTACTTCAAGCATGTCAAACTCAAAGGCTAACACGGGCCAAATAAACAAGGTTTAAGTTTATGTGGGTCACAAAAAAACAAAAGCTTCAATTTTCATAGAAACATAGGTTTATTTTGATAGAGACATGTTGAATACAAAGGGCTGAAAT